CCTCCTCCTCCTCCTCCTCCTCCTGCTCCTCCTCCTCCTCCTCCTCCTCCTCCTCCTCCTTCCCGGCACGCTTCCCAGCAGCTTCCGAGCGTTCGGGGGGAGCCCGGAGCGCCCCGCACGGCCGGCGGAGGCCCGAGCGGTGGTGCGCAGGCCCGGCGACGAGGCTCACCAGAGGGTCAGGCAGTGGCGAAGCGTCCTGGCTCGCCGACAGCCCTACCCCCGAAATGTTCTGAGGACCTCCGGTGGCTTCCACGAAATCTTCCTAGAGCATTTCTGGGTGGGACTGTCTTGCTTTTTCACATCGGGTTTCTGTTCTAAGAATATTGTTTTGTTCTCAGAACATTTCGAAGTTCTACGAGCATTTCGTGGTAGGACTACAGGAATGCCGGGACGGTCGGTCCCTGCTCAAGTGATGCGAAAACCCGGCGACGAGGATCACCAAGGGTGATCGTGGTTCGGTCGGTCCGGCCGCCTCGCAGTCGGTCGCGCTCGGCTCGGTTCTGGTCGGGCAGGCGATCGGCACCCGCGCAGAGCGGTGCAAATCTCCTCGTGCCTCGCGCGGGCAGCGGCGCGCCCATAGGGCAGGCTGGCCAGGGCGTTGCTCCAGGTGTTTTTAGGGGTACTCTTTCGCTCCCCTCCCCCTCTTCTCCTCCCTCCCTCCCTTCCTCCCTCCTCCCTCCTCCCCTTCCTCTCCTCCCCAGTGAGACCGAGGATTGGATTGCAACCGCCTGTGAAGCCCGTCATCACCATCGATCCGTTGATGAAGACACATCCCTTCATATTTCATGTTGACGCCTTTGTATTTGAGCCACGGGATCTTGGTGTGCATGGTGTCGACTGCCCCGCGGTTCGGTTTGTTGCTGCGCCGCCCCCTCAATGCCAGGCCGCTTTCGGCCAGCCCGTCGGCTCTCGGTCGGTCTCGGCTCCGCTGTCAGGCTCCCCTGAGGACCCGACGTCACGAAACAATGCAATACCACATCGTAGAAAACTCGACCAGAACCCTGGACCCAATCTTCTTCTGCATGTTTCGAGCTGGATCGATCCGTGATGGTCCCAGGGCCCGAAAAACGGCACAATCGCCCGTTATGAAATAATTGTGACGCCAGCATCTCAGGGTCCATCGCTTTTTCGGCCTCGCCGTCGCCGTCGCCGGGCCGTGGGCGTCTGCGAGGTCGCCAGGGAGAACAGGAAGCTGCGGGAGAACCTCGAGGAGCTCGACCAGCCGGGCTTCTGGGAGGACGTGGAGGCGCTGGAGGGCCGCAGCCGCGAGGGCGTCCAGCTGGCCCGCGAGAGCAAGGAGGCCCTCGAGCGCATCGCGGAGGCCTTCCCCTCCCTGCAGCCTCCAGATGCGCTGATGCAGCGGCTCGGCCGCTTCGTCGCCGCCGCCGCGGCGGCGTGAGGGGCTGTGTCCCAGTGGAAAGGGGAGGGGAGGCAGGGGTTCAGCGGAGGGCGGGTTGAGGCAACGGTGGTTGGCCCAACGGCAGTTGGCCCTCGGGGGGGCCCTTCGTCGCCAGGGCTGGACGCAGCTTGGAAGTTTGGTGCGTTTGGACCCCCATGGAGGGGTCTGGGGACCAATTTTGAGTTATAAGGAGTTCAGAAGTGGAGGCGAAGGGGCGTTATGTCTGGTCTACCCTAGCTCATAAGTGGGTTACACATGCTCCAGGTGGCCTAGTGGGGTTCGATACCCCCGCGAAGGGGGAGGGGCCCACTAAGCCTGGATCGTTAAGCCCCTTAGATATGTGGGGCATGTGTAGCCAGTGAAAAGCTAGGTTTGGCCAAATATCACCCACCCCAGCATCCACTTCTGACCCTCCTATCCCCTTAGCCCCCCCCCCCGCGGTCATTCAAGATTGTCTGAACTCGCCCTGCTCCGAAGGATGTACGCGGCTTTGTTGGCCCGGCTGCGTCGCAGTCTGGTGGCGCACGGGTCGGTCCCGTTGGCTGCTGCATCGTCTCCGCGCCGCTGACCCCTCTCGACTGCGTCCGCCTCGGCTCGGTTTCGGCCCGTTGGGTAGGTTTTCGGTTCGGGTGTCGCCGTGGGCGGCCTTGGCAGGAGAGACGGGCACGTACATACTATCGCACCTCGCTTCGCTGTGCTGCGATATCCTGCTTTCCCCGACCATCCTGGCATCTGCAGCCCTGCGTCACGCCTTGTCGTTTAGCCTGTGCTCAAGTCGACCCCTCCCCCCCGGTGTAGCTATCTTGGGGCAGCGAATCCCGTGGAGTACCTAGCATGCAGCGTGTCGTGGACAGCCCCACAGGGCGACGCAGGGTCCTGGCCGATTCCGCGATGAGACGTGGCCCCCGAGGCTGCAGTTTGGGCTCGTTCAGCACGATACAGTGTGCAACCTGACCCAGCTTGGTGTGCAGCACTTTGTGGGCCCCAGAAACGGCAGGGCCGTTTTTTTTCACCGTGTCCAAGAAAATGTCCCTTGAAAATGGAAGCGGCAACAAAAACGGCGACCGGAAACGGTACAAAAACGGCTCCAGGATTGGAGCCGGAGCCGGAAGCGGTCAAAGAACGGCGACAGAACCGGTAAAACAATGGCGTCTTAACCGGCCACCGAAACGGCAAAACGGAACCGGTAGGAAAAAAACGGCCCTGTCGCTTGGCATCGCTCGGACGTGTGCCTTTTTTTCCTTTGGCGAGGGCCCTCGAGGAGCATCTTTTGATCCTTCGGCGAAAAAGCCACGCAGGAAACCGAAGAAAAACACGGGGAATAGACGTCCCAGCGATGGCTCACCACCTACCAGACCACCCCAACCCAACCCGAAGGCCTCAATTTGCCCTTCATTTCCAGTGGGGGGGGGGTCGGGGAACGTCGAAAAAACACATGGAACCCGTACCCCCCCCCCCACCCGAAATTCGAGTCAAATTCGGGTCTTCGGGTTGGGTTGGGGTGGTTTGGTAGGTAGCCAATGGCAGGGTCGCTTCCAGGGCCCACGATCGTGTGCAGCATCGGGCGCCGGCGCCTCGCGGGGACTGCCGCCGGTCGCGACGCGGCGGCGGGAGGGAAAAGACAGGGCCCTGCCGCCCTGCGGCCCGGCCTGCCGCCGCCGCCGCCCTCTTCCTCCTAGTCCTCCTCCTCCCCCTCCTCCTCCTCCTCCTCCTCTTCTTCCTCCTCCTCCTCCTCTTCTTCCTCCTCCTCCTCCGCCTCCTCCTCCTCCTCCTCCTCCTCCTCCTCCTCCTCCTCCTCTCCTCCTCCTCCTCCTCCCCCTCCTGTCGCCCCGGGTGTGCCCCTGGGGATCGCCCGGACGTGTGCCTTTTTCTCCTTCGGCGAGGACCATCGAGGAGCATCCTTGATCACTCGGCGGAAGAAGCCACGCACGAACCCCCCCCAAAAAAACACAGGGAATTGACGTCCGAGCGATGGCCAGTCCCCGCCCCTCGGCACCCGAAGCCATCGCGAGGCGGCCGCCCCTCGGGAGCTGGAGCATATACATCACCAGTGCGGGGCGACCGACATGGGTCAGGAGGGGGAACAACACACAGACACAATTCATCGTCGATCCCAAGGAAAATGTAGAAAGATATGGGAAGTGGGGGGAAGACGAAAACCCAGAAAATATGTGAAAACATGGGAAATCATGTTATTTGTGTGTTTATTTGTGTTTCCCAGGGCCCCTTCAATGGGTACGGAAAGAATGGGTACAAAGACCGACAGCAGTGCTTGTTCAATTTGAGCATGATTCGCTGTCGGCGTCGCCGCGGATTGTGTCCATGTGAGACAGAAGGCCGCCTCCCAAACAGCGGCCGCTCTTGGTTCGGGACAGCATTTGCTGTTGGGCACTGTGCCCATTGTTTCCGTACCCATTTCGGGCGTCCAAACCAGTGGCGGGCGGTTTTTCAATCCCAGGATATTTTTGAGGGTCGGGGACGACGTCGGGGTGGTGTGGTGTATACTTTTGTCCCCTGTTTTCCCGTGGACGCGACAACAGATGTATACACCAGGATGCCGTATACACCAGAATCCGTTTTCTTGTGCGAATCTCAGCATGCGGGACCAGAAACAAATAGGTGTATAAAGTTCAGTTCCTTACCCCCGACCTTCTCCGCGCTGCTGCATCTGAGAATGTGTGCGAGTGCTCGACCGGGCGTTTCACGGTTCCCGCCCCGCCCCGCCCAGTAGAGACCCGCGCCGAGCGCGGACACGCAAAGAGCGATGCGGGAGCTTGCCCGAAAGGGCTCACGGCGCTGCCCGTTCTTGGGAGCCTCGGCGGTCATTTTTTTGGTTTGCGCCATACATGTCGTAGTCACTCAACAGTTCACAGGAGATCAGGAGGCCCCCAGGAGTTTTTGGGGCCGTCCGTGAGCCCTCTTGGGCTGTCCTGCGGTCTCTGACCGTGCAGGGGGCGCTCCCTTGGGCCCTCTCCAGGGCCGCTGGCGGCCCTCTTGGGGTCCTCTCGCGCAGTCTTCGGGCCCTCTTGGGCCATGTCGGGCCCCTCTTGGGCTGTCCTGGGGCCCTCTTGAGCCATCTTGGAGCGATCTGGGAGGCCCATGGGCGGCCCTCCCGAAAAGGCGACGACCCTAACACTGTTCAAACACGTGTCAAACCTACATGTCCTGTTGCCGTCTGAGGCTCCGCGTGGGTGGTTCCTTGCGGCTCTCGTGGGGCTTCTTGGGGACCTGTTGGGCCGTCTTGGGGCCATCATGGGACGTCATGGGGCCCCCCAGGGCCTTTCTTGGGCCCTTCCAGGGGTATGTTAGGCCGTCTCAGGGGCCTCTTGGGCCGTCTTGAGGACCTCCTGGCCGCTCTTGTGGCTCGCTTGGGTCTTGGCCGACGGCACGGCGTGTTACCAGGAGCTGCTCGCCCATCCTCCCTCCTCTGGAACCCGTTACAACAGGAGTGCTCGCCCCACCAAGAGCGTCGTCACTCGTACATGGTCCTTTCCGTCACGAAGCGCCAGCCGAGAAAGACCCCGGCAGGTTACGAAGAAATTCTGCGAAAGCGGTCAGACCTTGCCGTTTCCAGCCGCCTCGTGGCATGGGGCCAGGTCGGAGGTTGATGGTCGTAGTGGAAAGCAGGGATCCCCAGAAACTCGCTGGGGAGTGCCATGACGACAAGATGCGAAAGACGTAACCAGACTGCCGACTGAAGGGTCCCGTGCGAGAGGCTGCAGCTCTCCCGCCGCATGTTGGGCGCGAAGTGCGGTAGCGCTCTGGATGGTAGCACGCGCTCTGTGGTCCGCGCGCTTTGGTCAGTCAGCCACTCGAAGTCCATGCTCCTCCTCCTCCTCCTTCTCCTCCTCCTCCTCGTCCTCCTCCTCCTCCTTCTCCTCCTCCTCCTCCTCCTCCTCCTCCTCCTCCTCCTCCTCCTCCCCCTCCTCCTCCTCCTCCCCCTGTGTTGGTCAGCGCGCTCCCCGACGACGCCTCACGGCGTGTTACCGCCCGCGCCCTTGGATGGGAGAGCGCCGCCGCTGGAGGCCTCTATAGGGGTGTCCTCCGTGGCTTCCCTCGGGCGTCCTCTCGCGGCCTCGGAGGTTCGCGCAGGGACCGCAGACATCTGCAGTGAGGAAGAGGCGGAGGAGGAGGAGGAGGAGGAGGAGGAGGAGGAGGAGGAGGAGGAGGAGGAGGAGGGGAGGAGGAGGAGGAGGGGGAGGAGGAGGAGGAGGAGGAGGAGGAGGAGGAGGAGGAGGAGGAGGAGGAGGAGGAGGAGGAGGAGGAGGAGAGGAGGAGGAGGAGGGACGAGGAGGAGGAGGAGGAGGAGGAGGAGGGGGAGGAGGTGCAGGTGCAGGAGGAGGTGGAGGAGGAGGAGGAGGAGGAGGAGGAGGAGGTACCGGTACCGCTGCTCGTCATGGAGAGTGCTCGCCGTCACGGCTGCATTCTCGGAAATCTGGTCGGAGCGCAGGTTGCTCAGGGTGCTTTGGGAGGCTCCCGAGTGGACCTGTTGTGGTCAGTTACCTCTGCCCAGCTGGGCTTGGGCCAGGGCGGGCGACTGTTCTTGTCCACATGTGAAGGGCCCGTGCCGCCGCTGCCGTGTGAGACCTCAAGCACCGTTTCGAAGTCGTCTTGGGTGGGTCAGGAGACGATCCTGCACGATTGTCGCACGGGGGCACACCATGAGACCCGACGCCACGGACAAACTGAAGCATCGCAGAACAAAACTCGATCGGAGCCCTGGACCCCATCTTTCTGCTGCATCGACCCGCGAGGGCTTGGAAGACCGAAACACGGCAAAGACGCCCGCGGTGCAACAAAAACGATATCGAGAGGTACGCGACGCCAGGGTCGACTCCAGAGCACGTCGGGGGCTCCTTCTTCCTCTGAGGGGGGGCGCAGGCTGCGGCCGGGGAGGCCTCGGGGTGATCGCCTGGGCTCGAGGTGCCGAGGAGCCCGCGCGCGCCGCGACACAGGGCGGCCACCCGCCTCGGGCTCCGCACGGCTGCTCGCTGCCGGACGATGCCACGCGGCCCTGCTCCGCGGCGACGGCACGGTCGTCGCCTGCGGCTCCAATGGCCACGGCCAGTGCGATATGCCGCTGCTGGGCGCAGGCCAGACGTACACCCAAGCTGCCGGCGGCGGCGAGCACACAGTCCTGCTCCGGAGTGACGGCAGTGCCGCCGCCTGCGGCCTCAGCGGCGACGGCCAGTGCGACATGCCGATGGTAGACGCAGGCATGAGCTTCACCCAAGTTGCCGCTGGGGGCGCCCATTCAGTCCTTCTCAGGAGCGACGGCACTGCCGTCGCCTGCGGCTGCAACGGCGCAGGCCAGTGCGACCTCCCAGGGACGGGCGCACGCCAGATATATTACTCTCAAGCTGCCTTTGGAGACGCCCATACTGTCCTGCTCAGGAGCGACGGCACTGCCGTTGCTTGCGGCTACAACGGTCAAGGCCAGTGCGACCTTCCAGCGGCCAAAACTACACCCATGTTGGCGTTGGAGCTGTTCATGCTGTCTTGCTCAGGAGCAACGGCACGGCCGTCGCCTGCGGCTCCAACGGCCATGGCCAGTGCGATATTCCAGTGCTGGGCGCTGGACAGAGCTACACCCAAGTTGCCGCCAGACTAGCCCACACCGTTCTTCTCAGGAGCGACGGCACGGCCGTCGCCTGCGGCCACCATGCTGGCCGCCGGTGCCTCCCGGTGCTTGACGCAGACCGGATTTATACCCAAGTTGCCGCCGGGTTAGCCCACACGTTTCTGCTCAGGAGCGACGGTGCGGCAGCTGCTTGCGGCCAGAATGGTAACCGCCAGTGTAGCCTCCCGGCGTTGGTCGGAGGCTTGACGTACGCGGCGCACTTGTTGCCAGCGCTGACGCTGATTCTGCAGGCGTCGCTCGACGGCGATTCGATGAGTCTCGTGACGTTCGGCGGGGTGGAGCGCTGCCGAATCCCCGGCCAAGGAAGCGGTCGTAAGCGTCCTCGGGCTCGTCCCGGCGCCGGGCTGACCACTTGGACCGGTGCACCGCTTCTGTCGGCATCTCGAGACCGTTCTTCGGAGCCCCTGGATTGACGGAGACGGCATGCATTCTCCTACATGTGTTTCAGATGTCTCGAGCGTAGATTGATGCGATCGTCTGTCGGAGCACGCCGAAAGCATTTGACACGCATTTAAACATGTAGCTTAGAAGCTGTGGTGAATGCATTTTGGCCGTATTCGAAGGTTCTGCGCGAGATGGGACTCTCCGCTGCGACCGAGTACAAAGGTGAGGACCTCTCGCACGAGGATGCTGTGATGCAGGCTGCCCGCACCACCTCTGTACGTGGGAAACCTGTCTCGAAACGGATCCAGTCGTGAGGGCCCAGGACTAGGGGAACGAAAAGTGACATAAACATAAAAACTCGGAGGTCCGCGCGGATTTCTCGGATCGGCGCTGGGACCCCCCGGCGGCGCCTCCGGCGCCGCCCCTGGCGCGCTCCGCGCGCCAGGGAGGGGGGTCCAGCGCCGATCCGAGAAATCCGCGAGGACCTCCGAGTTTTTATGTTTATGCCACTTTTTGTTCCCCTATCTCAGCCCCAACCATCCCACTGCTCCAGTTGGGGATCGGTCCCTCGAGCCCCGAAGGGAAGCGCGCATGTCCCCATCTGGGAGGGTCAGTCGGCCAGTGGTCAGGCCCCTGGAGACCAGGACAGACAAACCAAGTCACGGGAAACCGAGGAATCGACCCCTTCTCTTGCAAAGTCACATTTTTCAGCACCTGTGCATGTTTTGTTTGCTGCGCAGCAAGATTCGGGTTTGTGTCCAGGTTCAGCGGGGTCTTGCAGGCTTTTAGGGCTTGTGACCGGGTTTCTATTATGGGAACGTCGCAGTGCAATAGTTTGCTCGTGCCGTCGTCTGGAAATTGGTTTTGAGGGACGTTGGGTGTCCGTGTTTAGCGTGTCTGGGTTTACGGGGCCCTGAAGTGGCCCAGGCCACCCCCAGTGGAGCTGGGCTTGGCCGCGCGATGCTCCTCTGCGGGGAAACGGCAGTGGGCCCCCAGCGGCCCACGGGCGCCGCTGCCTCTGACGGCAGTCTGCGCAGGGCAGGCATCAGGGCGCCTCCTCCTCCTCCTCCTCCTCCTCCTCCCCTCCTCCTCCTCCTCCTCCTCCTCCTCCTCCTCCTCCTCCTCCTCCTCCTCCTCCTCCTCCTCCTCCCTCCTCCTCCTTTCCTCCTCCTCCCCCTCCTCCTCCCCTCCTCCTCCTCCTCCTCCTCCTCCTCCTCCTCTCTCCTCCTCCTCCTCCTCCCTCTGCTCCTCCCTCCTCCTCCTCCCTCTGCCCCGAGGCGCCCGCAGAGGGCGGAGGAGGGGCGCCTGTAGAGGGCGAGGTGGACGCTACCGGAGGGGGAGACGGCTCGTCAGGGGGGTGGCGGTCGGGCAGCGCCCGGAGGGCAGGGCGGCCCGGGGCGACCAGGCGGGGGGGGGGGCGCGGCGCGGCAGGGCCGGCGAACGGGCAACACGCGCACACCTACGCACGCACGCACGCACGCACGCACGCACGCACGCACGCACGCACGCACGCACGCACGCACGCACGCACGCACGCACGCACGCACGCACGCACGCACGCACACACACACACACACACACACACACACACACACGAACACGCACACGCCCACGCCCACGCCCACGCACATACACACACACGCGCGCACACGCACACGCACATACACACACAGACACACACACACACACATACACACGCACACACAAACACGCACTCACACATGCACACACACGCACAAGCACACACACAAACACACACACACACACACACACACACACACACACACACACACACACACACACGCACGCGCGCACGATCGCACGAACGCACGCACGCACGCACGCACAGACACACAGACACACACACACACACACACATACGCACACACACAAACACACACACACACACACACGCGCACACACGCACACATACGCACACAAACACAGGTGGGACGGAGGCGGCTCTGGGCGCGTGTTGTCGGACGGGGGCCTCCGCTCGAACGGGAGCCCTTCCTTCCCCGGGGTCCGACGACCCGCACTTATACCCATAGCCAGTCATCCTCCCTCCAATCCCATTTTGGTCAAACATGCGTATATACATATATATATACACACATGGGTCTGGTGTGCGTTGTTCGTTCGCTAATGGCTTATGGCGGCCCTGGGAATGTGGAGCCCTGATCCCTGGATGCCAGAGTTTTCTCTTCGCGGCCGACGAGATCTGGCGCTTCCGACTTTGCATCAAATTCGGGAATCGGCCGCGACCAATTTGCAGTCGCGACCGATCGGTCGCGACCCGTCGCGATGGATATCGGAGTCGGTCGCGGTCGGTCGCGAAGGGTTTGGAGTGCCGATCGGCCGCTACCGATCGCGCCCGAAAAAATCTGGTACCTAATGATCTTGGGCCGGGGGTGGCGGCCGCGGAGGAGGACAGCGGAGGGAGCCGCCCTCGGACCATGCAGCACTCGGTGAGCGGTGCTGGCGGCCTCCCAATCCAGGATCTGGTACCTCGAAAATTCCGTTTTCAGAGTGCGTTAGCATGCGTCGGCGTGTGGCAACCGATGAGAGAGCCCCGACCTAGGCAGCGTCGATCTATCGCCGATCATCGTCGGCTAGCGTCGGTTCGCACATGCCAGCAAGATGGCATGGGAGGCCCCCCATGAGTTGCCACAGAAGGCCTCGGGCTCCAGGAGGAGTCGTGCAAAGTGGCCACGGGCCGCAGGGAAGGGCCCCGCGCAGCGCCCGGCCGACCGGGACCCCCGACGTCCCCCAGGCTTGTATGCGGCGCGGGCTTCCTTCCCCCTCTCCGAGGGTTCGCCCTTCTTCATCTCGCGCAGTTCTTCAACGCTCCCCCGGATCCCCACCACATGGCACAAATCAATGCGGAGGACTCTCGACGCTCTCGGCCTCTGGGGGGCCCTCACCGCGCTCCAGGAGCGTCAGAGAGCGACTGAGGAGGAACGGCCGGCCCTGGCGAGAGGGGCCGGAGTTCTGGGAAGCCCTTCAAGATATCGAGCCTCTGAGCCCAGGCCCCGACACGACATGTGGAGCAGCCGGCAGTCTCGATTTCTCTTGCTGCGATGTTGGGCACCTCGCTGATCCCGATCTTCCTACTCTTCCTCCTCCTCATCCTCCTCCTCCTCCTCTTCCTCCTCCTCCTTCTCCCATCCTCCCTTGGCGCTGCGAGCACGCTCGACACCAACCCGTCCGAGGAAAACCCTGGAGGCTTTGCGCGGCGCGCAAGAGTTGTATTATCCAGTTCACGCGTTTGCCCCGTCAGATATGGGACGACGTTCGCGCGGCGATGCTCCGACGCAAATCCGACGTGGATCCGACGTAATTTGGGCGTCGAGTTGCCGCACGAGGCCTCCAGGATTTTTCTCATGACAGCCAACAGTCCCCCCCGAGGCCTCCTTGCGACGTCTGTGAGCCTCCCTGCGACGTCTGTGGGGATCCAGCTTTCACTTGTGGGGGCGGTACCGGCAAGCCCTTCTCCGGAGGTGCCCCCCGTGACCCCGCGATGCCGCAGTTCGCTCGTGGACCGCGGCTTCTCTCGTTCGCTAAGTGGGTCCACTTAGCGGAGTTATCTATCCCACTAAACCACTGAATTAATGTGTGAGGTAGGTTGGGCCAAATGTAACCCACCTTGCAGCGCGGCTAACACCCCCATGTCCCCTTAGCAACCGCCGCGATCATCTCAGCGGACATCCAGCATCGTGATTTGTTTGTTTCGCTACATAGACCCTCAGAGGTTTTGACCCCTTTTCTCAGCCCCTCGACGATGTGTTTTTACATGTTGTTGCAGTCGCAGCGTTTCCCCTTCTTTTCGATCTCCATTGAGGGCCGCTTCCTGGACCCAGGACCAGCACTGGATCCAGGACGCAAGAACCACCCCTGGGAAGGAGTCGGGAGCTCTAGCTGGGCCGCGGACTGAGACAAGCATGTCGCAGGGCGTCAGGGTCCCAGGGTTAGATGTCATCGCGAGTCGCTTGTTGACGGCCCTGGGGGATGGGAAGGGGCCTCCAGAGGCCGAGAACGTCCACAAACCCGACAGTAATGGGGCCGAAAAGGCGAGCAAGTGAGTCCCGACATGCGTGAAGTCCAGACGTCCTGTCCGGCCCCGCTACGCCACGCCACGCTACGCCCCCCCCCCTGGGGGCCGAAAGGACGAGCAAGTGAGTCCCGACAGAAAAATATGCCTCTTTCTCCTCCTCCGTCGTCTCCTCCTCCTCCTCCTCCTCCTCCTCCTCCTCCTCCTCCTCCTCCTCCGCCTCATCCTCCTCCTCCTCCTCCTCCTCCGCCTCCGCCTTCTCCTCCTCCTCCTCCTCCTCCTCCTCCTCCTCCTCCTCGCGCTAGTCCTGTCGTCGGCTCATCCGATCCCTCCCGGGGCGGGTGAGGAAACCGATGTTCGACGACACCGACCACCGCCCGGACGCGCCGCCGGGGGAGCCCGCCGAGGAGCGCGCCGCCCGGGCTCCACAGAGTGGGGGGTGCCTAAGGGTTTAACGACCTTCGTGAAATTCCCTTTTGCGTGAATCAAGCCAGGCAGGTTGAGGTGGATCCAGGTGGATCCAGAGAAGCCCAGATGTGAGCCGAGGTGGGTCCAGAGATCCCGAGGGAGATCTGGAGCAGGTCGTGGATGCTTCAGGCGCGAGTCGAGGGGCGGCAGAAGTCGGCGTGCGGCCGAGGAGGAGGAGGAGGAGGAGGAGGAGGAGGAGGAGGAGGAGGAGGAGGAGGAGGAGGAGGAGGAGGGGGATGTGAAGGATGTGGAGGGGAACATGAGGAGGAGAAGGAGGAGGAGGAGGAGGAGGAGGAGGAGCGAACGTCCCTAGGAGGAGGAGGAGGAGGAGGAGGAGGAGGAGGAGGAGGAGGAGGAGGAGGAGGAGGAGGAGGAGCAGGAGGAGCAGGAGGAAGAGCAGGAGGAGCGGGCAGAGAGAGAGCAGGGAGGGCAGGGCGCCCGGGCACGGCGAGGCTCGATCGGAGGAGCCGAGATCTCCAGAGTGCCCGGCCGCCTCGGGAGTTGCCCAGGGGGAGGCGCGTCGGCG